ACACACGTCAGCCCCCTGCTTTGTCCTGCCCTGCCAGCTATCCTGAGACAGAAGAGGCTCTGGTTTGGATTTAGGTGATCCTGCGTGGAGGCAGGATTTGGATTCAATGAACCTTGAGGGTCCCTTTCAGCTCGGGATACTCCATGATCCTGCAAATCAGCCCTGAGAAGTGACAGCACTGTGTGTGTGCCTGCCTGAGTAACACGATGCTTTTAACACCAACTGCATCCAGGAGAGCACAACTCACGCATCACTCCTGTGACTGGAAGAGCTCAGGACAGCCATAGCCTGAAGAAGGCATTTTGCTGCTCTCCTGCATTTACTTCAGCCCTCAGGCACAGTCTTTCAGCTGGAAACTGTCTCAGAGATTTCAATAGAAACGAGGATGGAGGACACGGCGCAAAACACAAGCTATTAACAGAAACGCTCAGGACAAAACAACGTCAAGGTATGACAGGGGAAAGCTGGCAGGAGCCAGATCTCAGCACAAACACACACAGCCTCCAGAAACAAGCACCCAAGCACAGCAGCTCCTTGCACTTCCACTACAGCATTGACCATACCAGGAGGTGACTGCCCCTGCAAATGGGACAGAAGGAATTCCACTGAGATGAGAGACAAAGCACTCCTCCTCCAGGAGCGTTCAAGTTACAAGAGCAATGTTCTTTACTTCTTGTTTTAAAGGCAGGTTTCTGCTGATGCCCCCCGGCAGCCAAGCAGGGTTGGGAAGGGCCCTGCAGGGTCATTTCCATTTGAAGGAACGAGCACTGCTCACTGCTCTCAAGCACTCAGGGGCAGCAACTACAGAAAGCTCTGCAATCCCCCGGTCTGCAGGGACCAGCAGGGTCACTCCTTCCACACTGCGCAGAGGCCCTGTCCTGCACCTGGACACCACAAGCATACACCAAACAGATGGTAGCTTTTCCATTACACTTTTTGCTGCTGCAGAGCTTTCTCTGCTTCACCAAACAGCAGTTTCATGGCACCTGTGCTCCTGCTGCTCTCAGTAGATCACAGGCACATGGCTGGAGATCACAGAATGGCCTGGTTGGAAGAGACCTCAAGGATCATGAAGCTCCAACCCCCTGCCACACGCAGGGCCACCAACCTCCCCATTTAATACCAGCCCAGGCTGCCCAGGGCCCCATCCAACCCGGCTCTGAACACCTCCAGGGATGGACGGGGCATCCACAGCCTCTCTGGGCAGCTGTTCCAGCACCTCACCACTCTCCCTGTAAAGAACTTCCCCCTGATCTTAACCTAAATCTTCCCTCCCCTCAACTTCAAACCATTTCCCCTTGTCCTGCCATTATCTACCCTTGGAAAGAGTTGAGATGGGCATTGGGAAACACAGCCTCCCCAGACTGATTATTTTTTCCTCCTTTAAACTAGCAGCGCAATTCAAGGATGAGTTTTCACTGTCAGAATGGTGTTGAAAGTGGCCATGTCACTGAAATATGACAAATCATCCAGGAAGTTACCAAAGAAACAGAGTCCATCTGGCACAGGGTTTGAGTGTCCTAAAGCTGGTGGGAGTAGCAAAGCAGAGTGCATTGTGTTAATCAGAGCCAGCATCCATGCAAAGAGGTGCAGAGCTGTTTAACAGCCACCATCCTCAGTCACAGCATCCATGCCCGGGGCACTGATAGAACACTGATACCTGTGAAGATACCCAAAAGAATAAAGAGAAAGCACACAAACTCACTCCCTGATCCGGATTCTGGAGACCAAGCAGTGAGCAGGTACTACTTTGCTTTTCAGTTGACTTTACTTGACCACAACCATTCTCTTTTAGTTTGTTACGGAAGGATTAATTAGAAGAAATTCTTATACTACTGACTCCTAAATCCTTTATTACATCTAGAAAAAACACCTTTTTGCATTTGTGTCCTACTTGCCCTAGTCCCAGAATAGGAAAGATAGGCATTTACTCTTCCACTTAAGCAAAGCTACAGTAAGTTCTGGCAGTCATCACTACCTTTTCTTCTCTTTTCTGAATGCGTCCCTCCATATGCAAACACAAGAAAGCAGAAAAAGAACAGACTTATTTTTCCGAGAGGTGGCAGAAGCTGCAGCCCACTGCTAAACCCACACACCCAGCCAATGGAGAAACTAAAGGCAGCGTGCCAAGCTCCAACTGCTGCCCCATTTCCACCAGACACCACCAGTGCTTCATTCCACACAGGTTACAGCCAACGTGCTTCCCTCATAAGAAGTGCTTCCCTTTTTAAGACTCCATCGGGTTAAATTTTTACCTCCGCAGCCTCATCAGACAGACGTTTCCACTAGATGATTAACAGGCATTTCAACAGAGATGAGAGTTTGCCCACACGGTGAACATAACTCAACTCCTACAGCTGCAGGGCAGGTATCCACCTGCACAGTAGCCACCGAGTGAACAGCCCTGTGCTTTCCATACAGCTACAAAAGATTTCCCTTTTCAGAACAGCACTTTATCAGACACTTCCTGTCTCTTCTGTTCCTCCTTAGGCCACATCAGCAATACCAAACAGAGAAAGAGGAATCAAAAGCAGCAGGGGCAGAAATACTTTCAACGTTCACAAGCAGCACAAGATATCATACAGAAACAGGCAACGGAGAAACAGCAAGTGCTTCCTACCTACTCAGAATGGTCAACTACAGCTCTAACTGCACCCAAAGGATGACACCCAGCAGTGCCACCTGTGTGCAAGTTGCACAGCATGAAGCAATCCCACGCACCGCTCTTTGTGCTGGAAGAGCAATCCCACAGAGAGCTGCTGGCCCGTGTGCAGCCCTGCTTCAGATCCTCAGAGTGGGACCCACGCTGTCCTGTTCTGGCAGCAGTACAGGAGCCTTCAGAGCAGCACCAGAGCCCATCTGGTGGAAGTGCCAGCTCCTCCCAGCCACAGAGAACTGCTCTCACTTTTGTCAGGACACACTTCTTCCCAGAGACACCCAGAAGTGCCTGGATTCATTTATTCCCTTTTCCCTACTTTCTTCCCTCTGGAAATGAAACCATGACTTCCAAAGCTCTCATACAGTCAAGCAGTGACACCTCAGCCAGTTCCAGGCAATAGACAGTAGCAAGAAGTTGGCCGAGGTATTTCAACACTCTAAATTTTCCCTAAGAATTCTCTTTGGCTTTTGGAGGCTCTCATTTCCCTCTTGATCACTCAGCTACCATGACAAATCTTAAGTGCTTCTAGGAAGCAGGACTCTTTCAATAACAGTGTTAAAAGCAGAATGTGAAAGGACAAGATGACAGCAAGTATATTTTCTTACTGAAGATAAGCATGTGCCCTGAGAGGCACGTGTGTGTTCCCAGAAGAGTGATTTTACAAATAACAACCCTCAGCCCAGCTTCTCAAGCCCCTTGTGCCAGGAGTTCACAGGTCAGCACCGCATGTGTCATACTGACCGTGGCTCTTCTGTTTCTCACACCATTAAATTCTCAACTGACAGCCCCAGACAGCACCAGCCTCAAAATCAGTCTCATGTCAGAGCCAAGCTGGAAGAACTTACCCCAGAATTGTTGTGGAAAACAGCCTGTTAAGGTGGAAAGGAGCCCTTATTTTTTAGCACTGTGACTGACACCCACCATTTGCACTGTGAGTGTCGCTCAGCATCACAAGTATCCCACAAAAGGCTGGGAGAATAATGAGAAAAACCCTCACTGAGATCAAATGAGAGCTGCATGCTGCATGGCTTCTTCCAGAGGGGAGAGTGCCACACGAAAGTTTCTGAGCAAGGCTGAGCCTGCTGCCCCCAGAACAGCTGGCAGCTCGAGCTGCCCAGCAGCCTGCCAAACGGCTCTGTTTGCTGATACACCTTTATCACAATGAGCTCCGTTCAGAAGCTGAAGTCATTACATATCTGAGCAAGTTAGAGAATGCGTTGACTAGTGGGGAAGTAAATACGTTCCACCATTTCACCTGTGTAAGCTACAGTAATGTTAGTGCTATTATCTCTAGGCAGCAAGTGCAATTTTCTTCTGCTGAAGCAGCAGCCATACGGATAGAAACTTCCACATGAGCCAAGCTCCACATCTGCAGCTGTAACTATATTGCAGGAACACGTTTCCTCCTGTAGTATGGCTGTAACAAAACACCCCTATGACAGCCACACACAGCACAGACAGCTCTTCGGCTGCACAAAATTACTGACAAGCAAGAGAGCTCTTTGTAGTTAGAGCACTTGGTATTTTTAATCACAGTGACAGGAGGGCTCCTGAGCTGCACAAAAACAAGTTACTGCATCCTAACTGACGGTATGCTTCAGTTTGGTTCCGCGCAGCCCCACGCAGCCATGGGAACACAGATGCAGTGCAAACACATGCTTGGAGGTGTGTGAGCCCACAGCACTGCTGTCGATCCAAGGCACAGCTGTGGTGCCAGCTGTTGCGGTGCAACAGAGCCTTGGTTCTGGATGTCACACATCACAAGAGAAGCCCATTCTCCATCACGATACAAATTTCAGCTTTATAGGACTCTTCCAACTATAAACTATTCCACGAAAAGATGAGAAAGAACAAAAAGAACGACACAAGCACACTTCACTTTTCTTCCCAAAGACAGCACTTGATCAGGCAGCCTTTAGGACAGTGCCACTGCATTATAAACCATCCAGCACTAAGAACCAACACACCGAGCTCAGGACTTTTTTACAACCTTCCCAGCATAGGAGCAAAGCCTGCCAGCCCCACGGAACAAGGAAGCAAGCTGAATTTGCATCTCAGCAGTTCCTGAGCCTATATCCTCCACCCACACCTTCCTACCTGCGAGGGCACGGCCTCGCACACACCTGCAGCTGGGGACAGCCGTGTAGGAGCGCCGGGCATCGCAGCGCTTCAGCACAGCCCAAGTCACGACAGCACAGAAAGCAAACACCTGCTGCACCACATACAGAGCTGAGCCCTCCGCTGCTGCCGTGCTTTAATTCCCCTCGGCCGCAATCAATACTACATGTACACCTTGGTGGTACGTTCGCACGCTTCCTACGTAAAAATAAAAGAGCTTTACCAATAAAAAGCCACTTTGTCACCGAGTTTCTTTTCGCCGACGTTCCTGTCCAGGAGGTTGTAGCAGACGTTGGTCTTCGCCCCTTTCATCCACTCGATGAAGATCTTCCCCTTCGTCACATCGAAGTTGTACCTGAGGAACGGCCCCGAGTGCTGCTGCTTCCAGTAGAACTCCTTGGCGACGTCACCCCAAAACTCTACAAAAGCAACGGGCACAGCTTACAACCCAGCGAGCCGAGAAACGGAAACCGCTCCGTATCTCAGCGGGGACGGAGAAGGGCGGCGAAGGGCGGCGAAGCGACCCCGGCAGCGCCCCGGGCTCCGGCAGCGCCCGCTCCGCGCGGCCCTCACCCTGCGGCTCCTCCACGGAGCGCCGGTACAGCCGCCGGTAGTCCGCCAGCGAGGGGACGTGCGCCGCCGGCAGCAGCTCGGGCCGCGGCTGGTACAGCCGGGCCTGCTCCTCGGGCTGCACCATGGCGGCACCGGCGGCTCTGAGCGGGAGAGCGGCGCCGACCCGCTTCAAAGCGGCGCGGAGCCCGGGGGGCGGAGACGACGGTGCGGGGCGGCACCCCAACGGCTCCGCCCGTCGCCCCGGGGCCGTTGGCGCCGGCCGGCCCGGAGCAGGCGCGGGGTGAAGGGGGGCGGCCCGCCGTCACGGCGTGTGTCTGCGGTCGGCCATGTCGCTCCGTCGGCCGTGTGCCCCCAGCGGCCGCGTCGCGCTGTCAGCCGTGTTCCGCCGCCAGCCGCGTGCCCCCCTTGGTGGTGCGTCGTGTCGGCTGTGTCTCCGGCAATGGAATCCGCTCAGCCAGACGTGTCCCTGTCAGCCATGTCCCCCCGTCAGCCGTATCCCCCTGGCAGCCATGTCCCCCTGTCGGCTATGTCGCCAAATCAGCCGTGTCCCCCCCCTCATCGACCATCTCCCCTGTCAGCCATGTGCATCTGTTAGCCATCTCCCCCATCAGCCATCTCCCCCGTCAGCCAGTTCCATCTGTTAGCTATCTTCCCCATCAGCCATATTCCACATCAGCTCGGCCTCCCTGTCAGCCCCACCATCAACTCCCTGTTCATAGTGTCTCTGCCATCAGCTGTGCCCCCCTGTCAGTGATGTCCCCCACCAGTGCTGTCCCCCCTTGCCAGCGGTGTACCCCAATAGCTGCCCTGTCAGCAACATCATGTCCCCATCAGCCTCGTCCCCATCAGCCGTGTCCCCATAGCCGTGCCCCCCTCCCATTGCCAGGCACAGGGGAACACTGCCAGGACATCCTGTTTGCAGTGCCCAGGGAGGATGCTGAGACCTTAAAGATTTCTTCGGCACTGATGGATGTCATCCCTGCCAGTGCAAATGCACCACATCAGGGGAGTCACTCACTATGGGCAGCTTCAGTGGTACACAGTGCTGGGGCCCAGGAACACCCAGAAGATAAAAAGCCAGAAGCTTGTACTTGGCACATATTGCTGTCAGCAGATAGGTCTATTCTGGGATCCTTGGTATTTTCCATGTTCAGTGCACACCCTGGGAGCATTGTGTTGCTGCCACAGACAAACCCACCGCCGCCCATGCTCTCTGTATGGGCAGACATGGCACAGGCACAGCCAAAGTCGGCAAGGTGTTTCCCTCACCAGCCTGCACTGTCATTACTTCCACGTTTCCTATTGCAAAAACATGTTTTTGAAGAAAAAAAATGAATGAATTCCTGCAGCCTGAGCGCTGTGGCATGGATATTTTAAGAGCCATGGGCAGCGTATCTGGAGACCTGTTCAGCAATGCTGGTGTGGGCTGCTGAGGCCAGAGATGTTCTTGAGCTTCAGCTGTGTTCAGGATCCTGCCTGATGGGGTGCGGTCACAAGGCGCCTGCAAAGAGGAAAACTGAGAATAGCCCCTGGATCTGCTTTCCTGTGCAAACATAGGGCTGAGAACCACACTGCTGGTCAGACCCAGCCTTGGCATAGACATGGCCCTTATCAGCTTTCATTTTGATGGTCAATAGATGAAATATGGAAACACTCTGGTCTCTCTGCAAGGATAATCTAGGCTCCAGGGCAAGGACTCTTGCTGCATGACCACACTTTACTGCTCCATCTCCCTTGGCTCCCTTGGCTCCAGAGCAACTTGCATCCAGCTGCCCTGGAGCTGGGGCTTGGTAGGGCAGAGTGCTGTAGGTGGGGTTAAACATGGGGATACACATCTCACCACAGATCAAACTCCTCTGCATTGGCTGCAGGAGGAAATTTTAACCAGCACTGTGATAACAGCCTTTGGGCCCTGCTGGGAGTTATCAGTGCCTTTGTTTGCAAACGGGGCTGCTCGATATCGTTGTGGCTCTGGGCATTGTGTGGGCAGCTCCGCAGCCCCTGGGAGTTCCCTCCTCCTGCTGGCATGGGGAGCTAAAGTGGGTCAGTTTGGGCAGAACCGGGCCTGAGCCATTCCTCTGCTCACAGGGATGACAGATGGCTGAATTTCAAGCTTCAGAGAGAAGCTGATGAATATCAGAGCCTGATGATTTAGCCTTCTGCAGAGCGCGTGCAATATATTCATAATCATTTTGCATGTAGATGAGCTTATAATGCAACCACGGTTCTAAATCAAACCCGGGAGACACATTACTGCTTTTTGCCTGAGCTTTCAGAGTGATTGAGCCACAAGAAAATGCCTTTCTGTCTCCTAGATGGGGCCAATTAACCTTATAAAGATGCTCTCCCCTCTCACAATGGCTTGTTTGTTTATTTGGGCTCTGCTGGTTGCTGCTGTTTTCCATCTGGATGATGGAGCCGAGTCAAAGGGAGATATAGTGAGCACCAGACATGCAGAGGAAGGTAAACCAGGCTTGGGAGACACTGCATCGGTCTGCAGTGCGTTAAGAGAGGCTGAGGTTTAGGAGCTGCTTTCCCCATGGGGTTTCATCGGGGTCCCAGAACTCCCATGGCGGCGATGTGCCCTCTGCTGCCGAGCTCCAGCCCTGCAGGCCTGCAGTGCCAGCCGTGCAAGCACCGCAGTGGGCAGTGACACAGAGTCTGAGGTGGCAGCCACGCAGGGTCTGTTGTGACAGAGATTTGCAGCCCGTGGGGTCAGCGATGCAGGGCCCCCAGGGGGCAGCGATGCAGCCTCCAAGCACAAGTTCATGACAGCTATGCTTCATGGTGCAGCACATCCCAGCCATGGCATCCAAGCACACACATCCCTGTGCTATTCCCTGACACCCTCTGCTTTTGCCCTAAGCCTGGAGCAGCCTGGAGCTGAGCTGCACTGGAAAGTTCCTCCAGCTCCCAACATGAAGGGCACTAGCTGGCTGCACAGGGGTGACCCAGACCTGCATCCTGATACCTCACTTGAGTTAGAAGCATGGGCTGGAGTGAGAGTATCTGCTTGGGCACAGGACACAGCAGCCCATCCTATGCTCAGGCAGCTGGGGGTAGCAAAACCACACCAGTGCTCTGTGGGACCTCAAGGGCTGGTGAAGGCAACAAGCAAGCAGGTCTGCTTCTTTCTTTTCTTTTTATCTCACTTGGCCACACCCCACCACACAAAACGTCCTGTTCCCATCCCCTTAGGCTGAGCTCAGGGAAGCTCCTGCTGTTTTGCAGGGAAGGTGGGACAGGGCACTTGGAGAGAGGTCTGCAGGCAGAGCTGTAGCCAGAGGATGCTGGAGAGGGACCTGGCCACAGCAGATTCCCCTGTGGTCCCTGGCAGCCCTGTCCCCAGCTGAGGGTTGGAGACTGAGGACAACTGCTGTGAAGCCCATGGTCATGGCTGAGCCACCCTATGTGGTTCAGCTCCACAGCTCCTTGGCTCAAGATGCAGGTTGTTTCTATGCTCATCCCTGTGGCTCATTTGTGGCACCATCCCACCAGCCTGGCCAGGTCTCACATTTGCTTCCATCACCCTGCAGTCAAAACATCTCCCTGCAAACAGCATTTGCTCCTGCATGGAGAGAAGGGCCGGGAGCACAGCTGGTCAGGCCAGTGCTGCTGGATGGGAACTCTCTCATTCATCACCCAGCACATCACAAAATCTCAGGAGCTGTCTTCACTGTGGTTGACATCCCCAGGGGCTGTAGCAGGCAGTGGCCAAGAGGCAATTGGAATAGGAAAGCCACCACTTGACATGGTGGCTCCAACACATTAATGTGAAAACAACTTAGAAGAAAGATTTTATTTCAGCTTTTTTTTTTTTTTTTTTTTTTTTTTTTTTTTTTTAGAGTTTTTTTATTGTTTATTTTTAAACAGACTTGGTTTAGATTTTTGTTTTCTACAGTAATTCAGTGTAAAAATCCCAGTACAATATACAACAGTTTGAATGTTTGGAATAAGAAATCCAGCTTGGGGAGACACGTAAGTTCAGCTAGGTTCTAACACAGGTAGGAAATTCTCTCCACCCTCTCCCAAGTTCACCAGTCAGGAAGGCATTTGGGTGGGAACACTTTACAAACGTCACCCCTGCCCCATCCAAACTCTGGCTGCCTGTGTTGCAGTGGGACACATCACCTCAGGAAGGGGCAAAGATGCTGCTCTCCATGGGGTGGTTGGGAACCTCCAGCATTGCAAGGCAAAGTCTGCATCAAGTGAGCCGGCTGGCCCTTGTGCGTGAGGGATGTAGGATGGATGCTCTGAGGGGGTCCTCCAGGAAGGTCCCTCGGGGTCTGGGGCTCCCACGGGATGGAGAAGAAGTCTGTCCTCCCCTCGGCAGTGCCAGCATTTTGCGCCCTGCTGCAGTCAAAGGTGGCTGGGAGGGAACAGCCCCTGCATGGCCCAATCCAAGGGAAGGAAAATGAAGGTGATGCAAGGGTTGCTGGCTCGAGGGGCTGAGCGGTCATTTCAGGGTATCTCACTGGCTGGGATCTGGCAGTCCTTCAGGAAGCCACTTTGGCTTGGCCCATGGTACTCAAGCAACTTGGGATAGTCCTGCTTGAGCATCCTGGAATGGTCCCACTCAATCTACATGGGGTGGTCCTGCTTGAGCAACATGTGAAGGCCATGCTCAAGCTACATGTGATGATTCTGCTTAAGCAGCCTGGCGTGGTCCTGCTCAAGCACCAGGGAGTGATCCTGCTTGAGCAGCATGGAATGGTCATGCTGGAGCAGTATGGGATGGTCCTTCTCCAGCAGCATGGAGTGATCCTGTTTGAGCAGTCTGCAATGGTCCTGCTCAAACAGCACATGGGGGTCCTGCTTGAGTACCATGGAGCAAGTGGCAGTGATGGTTCCTCGTGTCCTGCAGTATCACAAACACTGCACTCAAATCTGTGTCTGGCCTTTTTGACACTCTTGGAAATCCTCCAGTGTTTGGAGAAATCTCCTACAGGTGTGGGTGCTTCAATGGATTCCAGGAGACTCTGACTGAGCTCCCTTGTTCCAAAGGGTTATTGCTAACGAGTCAGAACCAGTGACTTCAGCTGAATTTTGTAATCTTCCAAGAGCAGAAATCCTTCCACTTCCCCAGTGAGCAGTTCCAGCTGTACCAGCT